GGCGCCATGGCAACCGCGGCCCCTCTCGGTTCCTACTGTGGGCCCCCGGCCGGGGGTCGCTGACCTTCCCCTGGGCAAATTCAGGACTGCCGCTCCTCTGCCGGCTCCCGACCCCCCACGGTCTTCCGCGTGGATGCCCTGCTTGACCCCCCACCTTCCGGTCCTTGCTTGCCCCGCGACACCCCTTGGGCGTCTGGGTACCACCCACAGTTAATCAAGGTTATTCCTTCCAGTTTGGACACTCCACCTTTGTCTCTGACTCGCCTTTGCTGGGATGCGCAGCCCTTTTAATGTCACTCACCTCCGAGGTTTCCCCGAGATGCGGCCTCCGTTTCCTTTTCAGATGTCCCTTTTTGGGCACCTCCAGGCCATCTCTCTGAAGCATTTCTCTCTGCCTTGCCCCCTTTCTCTCGTCCTCCTTCCGGCAGGTAGGCTGGCCCGCTTTCCAAACGCATCTCCATGGTGCTCCAGGAGATTCGCCTTCTCACAAATCAGATTCTTGGAACCGTCATCACAGCGGCTCCTCAGCTCCTCTCATTTATCAACCAGGAGAATTCTGGCCTAGTCACTGTCTTAAGGGGGTTGGGGGCAGGGATGGACATTTCTAGGCCTGGCACGGCTGGGTTTCTTCTTAGTTTATTAGCCGCTGAGTGGTCTACAGTTTAATGGCTTAACCAAGGTGAGCTGCTATCCGCTTAGAAAAGGAAGGAAATATGCCCAAATCAGAGCAAATGCACAGAGTGGGTGCTCGCAGTGGGTGCAAAAAGTGCGTTGTGTCATGTGACACTCCCACCCCCACTCCAGCTCAGAAAGTACTGTTCTTCCAGATTGGAGAGCTAAGCTCAGGGAGGAACCAGAAGGGGGAAAAAACAGGATGGATTTCGTAAAGCCTTTGCGTTATATACTCCAGAGAAGAGGTAGGCCCCTTCAAACCTGGGGAATGTCTGAAATGGATAAATAAGACCAACAAAAAGGATACTTGTTTAGTGAATTATTGGGCTTAAGGTTTTTATAATGGCTTTATTGTTAGCCAAATTTTAGCATTTTGCTTTTTTTCTGGGAAGATGCATAACTAAGACAGTTAAATGTATGATTTTCACACATGGAATCATTGTGCTAAATGTACTTTTAAAAATCTGCAAGGTAAAAAACACAGTCCTGTTACCACTACTAGACAGCTGCGTTGCTTCACCTATCTGGCCTTGGTTTCCCTTATGTATAAGTGAGTCTCCAGAGGAATTGGGGAGTTTTGTTAAAGACTGCTAATCTGACCTGAGATTCTACTATTAAACTAGAATTTAGCCTTCTCTGGTACAGCTCACTGTAAACTGTATGTGTTTTATTAAATAAACATTCATTCACTGTGTTGGATTGCTATACCTATGATCCCAGCACTTAGAGGCAGAGGCAGGCATATCTGTGTGAGTTCAAGGCCAGCCTGTTCAACAAGAGAGTTCCAGGCCAGCCAGGACTACAAAAAAAATAAACAAACAACAACAACAACAAAACTCCCACATCACTCTCTTCTTCAGGCAATGGAACAAGAGAGGACATAAGTTTCTACTGTCCCCAGAGGTCAGGCTATTGCGAATGTTCAGGAAGAAAGAGGCCAAGGTGTACATAATGGTTATTGTGGAAACTTGGCCAAGGACATTAAAATTGATGATGGGATGGGAATTTAGCTGACCACCAAACAAAGTGGAAAACATTTATTGCTGCTGCTCATGATTGTGGGAACTGAGGGTCTCAGTCATAGCCTGTTAGATTGTGGCCATTGCTGGGGGTAAGGGGGCGAGGGTAAGGGTGTCATTAGGTCTTGTGATTGACATAAATAATAGCTTTTATAGATTAATTTCCCATTTTCAGCATTGCAAATCTTTTAAAAAGCCTTGTAAGGTAAGCATTCTAATTTTCATCCTTAATTATTGATGAACAAAATGCCATTTAAACACCTAAGTGGAAGTCCATGTTAATAGAATTAACTGACAGTAGACTCCTTATCTTCTAATTCCTAGTCTGTTCAGAGAAAGAGTATGGCAGAATAATTACAGTATAGATTTGGAGTCTGGAGTAGCTCAGTGGTAGATCACTTGCCTAGCATGCACAAGGCCTTGAGTTTAATCCCTAGCACGGGAGGGGTGAGGGAAGGCAGGCAGCAATGGTTGGGGGTTAGACTCCCTGAGAGTAATATCTAGTTAGGAGTTGTGAGTGGTGGTTCACACATGTAATCCAAGCAATCAGGAGGCTGCAGCTTGAAGGTTACAAGGACTGTGTCTCAAAATAAATAGATAAATAACATCCAGTTTTGTTGTACGACCTTAGATATGTACTTCCCTTCTTTGTGGCTGAGTTTCCTCATCTGTAAGATGTGAGGATCGAGAGAATTATTGCAGGTAAAGTACTAGAACAGCATTCTGCCCACAGCCACACTCACTCCACGGCAGCCATTATTTTACCACATCCCTACTGCACTGTACTGTTTCCCAATTTGGAAAGGAAGCATGCTCAGTAAAGGGAATGCTGAGATCACTGTCTCAGCCCTGCAACTGGGTTGCTCTGGAAACTTATTTTGCACTGTAGTGAATCAGTAGTCAATGACAAAGAGAACGCTGCTTCCTTTTCCTGTGAGTTGCAAAAGTGAATGGGATGACATCCACCAAGCATGCTGAGCTGCTCACAGGATTCAAGCTTCCTGCTCAGGTTCAACACGATTCAGGGGAAGGTCCTGGCTGCAATGACACACTGTCTTCCTGTGCCTCGGGAGAGGTGTCTCCCTTCTTCCATCTAGGCTGATTCTTCTGGTTCTGGCTCTAAGTCTCAACCCTCCCAACCCTCACGCCCCTTACTCCTTCTGGTGAGCATTTAAACATGCTTAATGATCTACCAGCTTTTAAAAAAAAAAAAAAGCACGAAATCTTGTTGTCCTGTGTGTACTGTCACCGTCTCTCCTCCTCCTCCTTCCTTTGTTGGCACTGAACCCATGGCCTCCTGCTTATATAGCTAATGTTATACCCTGAGATACAGTTTTCTTGAGTCATCTACACCCATTGGCTCCACTTCCTCAGTTCTATAAAGCATTCATTAAAAAGTGTTAGGACCTGATGGGCAGTGGTAGCACACACCTTTAATCCCAGCACTCGGGAGGCAGAGGCAGGCGGTCTACAGAGAGAGTTACAGGCCAGGCTCCAAAGCAATACAGAGAAACCCTGTCTCGAGAAACAAAAACAAACAAACAAAATTATGACTTAGTATGTGCCAGGTACTGTGCTAGAACCTTGGAGGACCCTCTGGTGGGATCACAGACAGTAATAAAATGATTGCTTCATCATAACCACAAACTACAATCAATGTTATGAATGAAAACTTCAGCTGTTATAAGAGAATTTAACAGAGAGCAGTAACCTGGTTAAAGAGAAGATAAAAGGAGACTCAGTCAGAACATGTCACCTGGGCTGGAAATGAGAAGCACTGACAAGTCAGAAGTAATAGCAGTCACTAACAGTAATTGAAGACTATTTCTTGCAGTTTGCACCCTACTTCTGGCCTTTCCTTCTTCCTTCCTTCTTTCAGAGTCTCACTGTGTAGCCATGGCCAGCCTGGAACTAACTAGCTTACTATATAGACAAAGCCACTCCACCCCACCCCAACTTGTTATGATTCTCCTGCCTCTGCCTCTGCCTCCTGAATACAAGCCTATCTTTAATTTTTCAAAAAGGTATTTTTATTTCCTATGTATGAGTGTTTTGCCTGAATGTACATAATGTGCACCATATTTGTGCCTAGTGCCCATAGAGGCCAGATGGTGTT